ATTTATAAATTATCAAGGGTTCATGAGGGAGGGGACAGCAGAGAAGTGGGTAAAGGGAGACATCAGATGGTATAAGATATGACAAAATAATAATTTATAAATTATCAAGGGTTCATGAGGGAGGCGGGAGCAGGGAGGAAGGGGAAAATATGAGGAGCTGATACCAGGGGCTCAAGTGGAAAACAAATGTTTTGAGAATGATGAGGGCAACAAATGTACAAATGTGCTTGAAATGGATGGATGGATGGATTGTGATAAAGAGTTGTACGAATCCCAATAAAATGATTAAAAAACAAACAATAATTTTACTTCTTCTTTCCCCAAACCATATCCCTTTGATGTCCTTCCATTGTCTTATATTATTAGACAGGAACTCCAAGACAATGTTGAATAGAAGTGTGGACAAGGGGCATCCTTGTTGGGTCCCCTTATTCATTGGGAATGTATTTGTTTGAATCCATCTGGTCCGGGGCTTTTTTTGGTTGTGATTTCCTTAATAACCTTACCTATTTTTCCTTTTGCTATGGGTCTACTGACATCTATATGAGTTAACTTGTGGAGCATTTGTTTTTCCAGGTATTTTTCCATGTCCTCCAAGTTGTTGAATTACAGTCTTTCATAATACAGTGTAATTAGTCTTTTAATTTCATTGGGGTCCGTTTTAATTTCCCCTGTTTCATCCCTCATCCTTGATATCTGCTCCTTCCTATCTTTTGTTAGGTTTGCTAGTAGTTTGTCAAGTCTGTTTATCCTTTCAAGAACCAACTTTTTACTGATTTGATTTTTTCCATTGTTTTTTGTTTTCCCATTTGTTTATCTCCACCCTAATTTTTATGATTTCTTTTCTTTTGCCATTAGATGGATTATTCTGTTGACTCTGTTCCAGCAGCTGAAGGTTTTGTGTTAGGGTATTGACCATAAGTCTCTCACCATTCCTTATATGTGCATTTATTGCTATCAAACATCCTCTCATGACTGCCTTTTGATATGATGTATTCTCATTCTTATTAGTTTCTAGAAACTTCCTAATTTCGTCTCTAATTTTGAGCCACAACACAATCCCATTTTCAGAAGTACGTTGTTTAGCTTCCATATATTTGCCTCTGCACTCTTTTCTTTCATTTGTTTATTTCCAGCTTTATGGCGTGGTGGTCAGAGAAGGAAGTCTGTGTGACCACTATATGTTTGAATTATTCAAGCTTGACTCGTGCCCAAGCATGTGGTTTATGTTCAACTATGTACCTTGTGCACTTGAAAAGAATATGTATTTTTTTGCATTGGGGTTGAGAACTCTGAATATATATATCAGGTTGAGTTGCCTGATTGTAGTGTTTAGTTCTTTCTATAGCCTCATTTCTTAGCCTCATTCCTGCTGATCTGTCTTTCTTGGAGAGCATGTATTGAAGTATCCTACTATGATTGTTGGTCCTATGATTTTTTCATCTCTTGAAGGAGTTGATTAACAAATTTCACGGGTCTCTTTTTGAGCGTGTATGTTTATTATGCTCAAGGGCTACTACTCCCTTAAGCATTATATAGTGCTCATACTTATCTCTTGTTATGTCTTGTACCTTGTGATCAATTTTGTCAGAAATTAGAATTGCACCTCCTGCTTTCTTTAGAATGCCATTTGCTTGATATACTTTTCACCATCCTTTAACCCTTAACTTGTGTTTGTCTGTGAGCTTGAGCTATGTCTCTTACAGACAGCGAATTGATGGATTTTGTTTCCCAATCCACCCTGCTAGTTTTTGTCTTGTTATGGCTGAGTTCAGACCATTGACATTAAGAGTAATTACATCCATCTGTGGGTTTTTTGCAACCATCTGGTACCTTTTGTGTTAGGTATTTTCCTACTTACCTCCTTAATTGTGTGTTGTGTATGGGTGGAAGGTTCATACTTGCCTTCTTTTTCCTGTTGGGTCAAAGAAGACTTGAGCATTGCTTTCAGTGCCATGGCCTCTGGAAAGTGTTGTACTGTGCGGTGGTCTCGTGTTTGTGTTCTGTGGACATTGGTCATCTGTCCAAAGTGAGTTGGGAAGTAATCTTTGTAGTGCTAGTTTTCTTTTTACATAATTATCTAAAGTGTTCCTTATCCAAGAAAACTCTACCCTCCGCTTCTATTTTGATGGAGAGTTTAGCGGGGTAGATGATTCTTGGGCTACAGTTATTCTCCTTCAACTCTCTGAAGATGCTACTCCATTCTCTCCTCTTCTTCATTGTTTCTGATGATAAGTCTGAGCATATTCTTATCTGATTACGCTTAGGTGACTTCATATTTTTCTTAGCTACCCTTATGATTTTCTCCTTTTTCAAATTGGATAATTTGACTACTATAGGCCATGGTGTGTTCTTCCTGGGATTCGGTCTAATTGGTGTCTTTTCTGTTTCCTAGATAATTGTCAGATCCTCTCTTATATTGGGGAGTTTTCTTCCAGGAATTCCCATGCTAGAATTTTTACTGTTGATTTCTTGCTCTGGTACCCCAATTCTTCACATATTGTTTCTTCTCATAGTATCGCTCATTGTTTTCAAGTTTTCTCCAGTTTCTGTTATTATCTTATTTGTCTTTCACGTTTATTGGATTCTGCTTCATTATTGTCAAGATCTCTAATGTGGTTGTCTGCTTCTTCTAGCCTTTTGGTGAGGTCTTTTACTGTCTTTTTGTTTCTGCTACATCATCCCTTAACTCTTGTATTCCCCTATGGTATGTGGACTTAATCCTCTCTATTATTTCATCCTTTTTCTGCATTGATTCCCTCATATCTTAAATGACTCTAATCAGCATACTGAATATTATGTTCTGTGGTGGTTCCAAGTCGTCTTCTTGTATGTACATTGTTAGATTCAGGTCCTCCTCCGGCATTGCATTTTGTTTCTCTTGCTTTTGTGGAGTGGCTGCTCAGATTGGGCTGTTGTCTGCATGCCATTTTGTTGGAGCTTTGCACCATGTTTCTGGGAATCTGGGGCAGCAGAGACCCAGGGAACAGCTAGCGGTCATGGGAAGTGACTAGCTGATGTGGGGAGCTCAGGGGTAGCCAGGGGAAGTGTGGAGCCCAGGAAGTGGCTAGCAGGTACAGGGTGTGGCACATAGGCCTGGAAAGTCCAGGAAGCAGCCAGTGGATGCAGGAGGTAGATGGTTTACACAGAGGGCCTGGGAAGTGTCCTGCAGGTGCGGGAAGTGACCCACAGGTGTGTGGGAGCCTGGGATGCAGCCTGTAGGGGCAGGAAGAAGCCAGTGGGTGCAGGGACCCTGAGAAGAGAATGGTGGGCACAGAAAATATAGCCTATAGGCATGAGAGGACCCAGAAAGTGGCCTGTGGGTGAAGAATATGGCCTGCCAGCGTGGGGGAGCCAGGAAAGTGGCCTGCAGAAGGCTGCCAGAAGACATGGGGGGCATGGGAAGTGATCTGTGGGCACAGGAAAAGGCTGGTGGGCATAGGGATCCCAAGAGGCAGGTGGTGCACACAGGAAATGGCCAGCAACCATGGGGATGTCCGGGGAATGGCTAGTGGGTGCAGGGAGTTGCTGGTGGGCTTGCAGAACCTGGCAAGCAGCCACTAGAAATGCTTGGGTTCCAGCAAAGCCAGGAGGATTATGGAGGAGCAGATGCAAAAAGCCCAGGGGGGTGGCTGCTACCAGCACTCCAGGCTCTTGCATCCAAGGTGGAAGGAGGGGGAAGCAGCAGTGAAGAGCCTTGGTAGTGGGACAGGCAGCACTCAGGCTCTGGTGACTGGGCGGGGAGAAGGAGGGAACACATTCAGGGACCCCAGTGAGTGGCTACAGGCAGTTCTCAGGCTCCTGTGAATACAGGGGGAGGATGTGGGAGTGGCTGCAGAACACACAGGAAGCAGCTGCTGGTAGTGCTCAGGATAGGAGGGGGAGCAGAACCACAAAGCCAAGAAAGTGGCCAACAGTGACCCTCAGGCTCCGGTGACTGGAGAGGCCAGAAAGAAGGTTTTAGCAGTTCTTTGGGCTCTGGTGACTGTGGGGAAGGAGGAGAGCGGCTGCAGAATGCCTGGGTAGTGGCTGCTGGCAGCATTGAGGCTCCGAGACCATGGCGGGGGCGGGGGCGGTGGTCACAGGAGGGAACCTCTGAGGAGGGAGGCACTCAAGGGATCCAGGAACACTGGTTGGTGGTATGGAAACCACAGGGCACCTCAACACATGCGTGGGTGGTGGTGGGCCACAGAGAATCGTGGTGCAGGGAGGTTTCAGGGGCTGGGGAGAACCAGGAAACCCCTGCTGTGTCACCCCCACCCTGGGAGGCAACAGGGATCGCCATGCAGGAGGCATGTGTCATGGCAAGCACTGCTTAGCCATCTATGGAGAAACCGCCAAAAGGTCCCCCGGACACTGCAAGACCAGGGCTAGGCCTAAATTCCTCCAATTGGTTCCTTCCCCTGCACATCTGGCAACCACTCACAGGGAATTGCAGATGGCTGACCCTACATCAGTGCCATCTTCCTGGAAGTCTCTTCTAAGATCTGTGTGTTCTTTGGGCAGTCCATGGTACTTTCACTATTCTTCGTCAACGCCATAATTTAAACACATTGATTCTTCTTCAGTCTTCCTTATTCGGTACCTAACTTTGATATGCATGTCTGGCAATTAAAAATACCATGACTTGGGTTAGGCACACCTAAGTCTACAAAGTAGCACCCTTGCATTTCAATATTCTAAAGAGGTCATATGCAGTAGGCTTACCCAATCAAGTCACCTTCTCATCTCTTGAACCACATACTCGCACCACTTCTAAACTGAATCCTAACCACAAACATCTATTTGGTGTAGAAGAATTTACCGTTGGATGTGAGTATGAATACATACATATTCATGGATGGTGGGGGGAAACACACCAAAATATTAACATTTGTTATATTATGGTGGTAGGTTTATGGGTGATTTATTTATTTTCTTCTTAAAGGGTACGTATTATTTTGAAATAAATAGCTTACATTGCTTTATTATTCTTGTTACTAGATCATTTGGCCTTAAATCCTCACTGGAAAGACACTCACTATGATATGGTAGTTGGTGTATTGTCAGCTCGAAATAATCATGGACTTCGAAAAGTGATACGAAGCACTTGGCTGAAGCATTTAATACAGCATCCAACTTTAAGGCAACGGTAGGTTTTCTGAGTTGGTACCTTGCATGATTTTCTGAAATAAGAATTCTGAAAAGCTTAATTTAGAGATATTAATTCAGATGTACAACCTGTTTCTCAGAAGAAATAGTTATTTCATTTTATATTTCTTCCTTATAATTGAATTCAAAAGTAAATTTAACTGAGGTTTTAAGCCAAAAAATAGTTGGAGAGTATTAACTGATTAACATACCTAGTATTTATAAATAATTTGTTTTGTTGTTTTATCTTCATTTTGATTGAGAATATTAATACTAAAATATTTTATATAGTTCTTCACTGTGATTTGTGTCTCAACATACCTTTTACTAACTTCACAGAGATGCACTTACAATAGTGCTTTTTAGATGTGTGTTTCACCATGTATAATTTTGCTTTTTTATTTTATTTTTTTACTACCCTTCCTGGGATGAGCTTTGGTAAGCTCATATTGACATTAGTGGCTCAGTTATTGACCAGGAGTGCAAGGCCTTAGTTTGTTGTCAGTGTGACTGGTATGCAGTATGTAGTGATGAGTTAGTGAAGACAAGCATGTAAGGCTGGACTTAGAGTTATGTGAAGACGCTTAGATGATAAATACAGAGGCCTTTTCCGGATTACAGTCAACTGACACTTTGGTGAATGAGTAGATAGAGACAAATTGAAGTTGTGAATATTCTTGTCCCTAGTGATAAATATTATATTATAGATTTTCTATCTTTCTCATCGTTTTCATTCCTCTTCAAGACAGATTTCTTTAGTTCATGACCGTTATAATAGAATCTATTACCCAGCAAAGAAGGGAAGGCCTCAGAATCATCACTATCCTCTAAAGCATGAATTTCTTATAATTTTCCCCATCTCAGAAAATAATGACTCCTCTCTACTAGTTGCTCAGACAAAACTTGACTGTCATCTTGACTCTCTTTCTCTCACACCCCACATCCAAATGATGAGCTTATCTTGTTGGTGCTGCCTTTAGATCATATTTGGAATGTGACTTCTTACAATCTTCACCACTGTTAAGTCCTAGATTATTGCAGAAGTCTCCTTACCTGAACTTACTACTTGTATTTTTGTTCTTCTGCATTTTATTTTCCACTTTTCTTGTCTACATCTACTTTTTTGGAGCAATCCTTTTAAATCAATCAAGTTATCTCAGGTCTTAGCTTATATTTTTCCACTGTTTGCTTTTTTACTGAGTGAAATTCTAAATCTTTTACCCATCTACATGTTCTTTCACTCATTGATTGGTTCTAGCTGCACCAGTCACATTTCTTTGCTCTTATACACTTATTGCATTCCTGCTTCAGTGAGTTTGCATTTGCTCTTTACCCTCTATGGGCCACCGTACCATTGGTTCTACTCCCAGATCACTTCCTTAAGACTTGTGCTTTGATGTCACCTTAGCAGACAGCCCATAGGAAATAGCCTTCTATACCTATTCCATCTGTAGTCTTATATTCACTTTGTTTTCTTTGTAACACTTGTCATCTACTGACATATTTAATTTATTTGTTCATATATTTTTTAATTGTGTGGCTTCACCAAAAGAGATTTTTGAGAATAGAGGCTTCAAGCATTTTTTTGTTGATGGATTTCTAGTGCCTAGAACAGACTCTGGCATAAAGAAAAGTACTTCACAAGTGTTGAGTGAATGACTCAGAACTAAATCTAATGAGTAACATTTACAATCAGATATTCATCAGTAATACATTTGCCATCAAAGCCTTCTTGCTTTAATTTTAGTAAGGTTGGTGGTTTGTTTTATGAAACAGATGGAATATGACAGGGCTTCAAAAGATTTGTGGAAAAATTCTAGTATCTTTTCATTTCATTTTCCCCAAACTTTTTATAGCCCCTTGCTTGGTGTTTTTAGGCGCCATTGAGTCACTCTGAGTCACAGTGACCATATGTACAGCAGAATGAAACACTGCTTGATTCTGCGCCATCCTCACACTTGATCACATTTCTGAGCCCATTATTGCAGCCATTGTGTCAATCCATCTTATCAAGGACTTTCCTTTGTTTTGCTACCCTCCATTTTACCAAGCATGTTGTCCTTCTCGGAGTGGTCTCTCCTGACTACATGTCCGAAGTACTTGAAGTCTTGCCATCCTTGACTCTAAAAAACACTCTAGCTATACTTCTTCCAAGACAAATGGGTTTGTTCTTTTGGCAGTCCATGGTAGTTTCAATATTCTTCACCAACACCGTACATCATATGCATCGATTTCTCTTCGGTTTTCCTTATTCAATGTCCAACTTTCATATGTATAGGAGGCAATTGATAATTCCAAAACTTGGAGCAGACATACCTTAGTCCTCAAAGTAACATCCTTGCTTTTCAACACTTTAAAGAGGTCTTGTGCAGCAGATTTACCCAGTGCAATGTGTCATTTGATCTTCTTGAGTACTGCTTCCATGGATATTGATTGTGCATACAAGCAAGATGAAATCCTTGACAACTTCACCCTTTGCTCCATGTATCTTGATGTTAACATATTGGTCCAGTTGTGAGGATTTTGATTTTCTTTACATTAAGTTGTAATCCATACTGACGACTACAATCCATGTAAAAGAAAGTGTTTGCATTTCTGTATTTATGGCCTTTTTCAAAATTTGCATTTTACATCCAGGACTCAGAGTCAGTATATATTTGGAGGACCTTAATTATGATCCTTTATAACAGAACTGTAATTTGTCAATTTAATAAATAGTTAAGTATCTTCTGTATGCAGGTAGTACTGTGTGTAGTAGAATACAAAATATATGTCCTCAAGGGAACTTGAAGTTTATTAGAAAAAAATAGATGTAATAGAGTAGTGAAATGTTATATGTGCTGTGAGATAAATATGTATAAATTAGCTTGGAGTGTTTAGGAACCTCCAAACAGTTCTATAAAGCTGTAGTTTGGGATTATGAGCTATATGTGGGTGTGTGTTGTGAGAGAGTGCCAGTGATGGATAGTAAGGCAGAGAAACAGAGATATATAGGAGTTGGGGTTGGAGGGGAAAAAGAAGACATAGGACTGTGAGAAGCAGACAGTAACCAAATCGTGCAGAACCGTTTTGGTTAGAGGTAAATGGAAGGGTTAAATAAGGACTGCTAAAGGTATTGAACTAAAGTGATGGCCTTATGAGAGAATAAGATCATTGAACATGGCAAAAAGAAGATAAACCAAGGTCATTGCTAGCTTTCTGACTTGGATAATAGTGGAATCATCGATCAAAACAAACAAAAACTAAAGGAGATGATCAGGTTTCATGGGAAAGCAACTGAGTGGTGGATGTGTTGAGGTTAAGATACCTATGCTGATAAATATTTACTAGCAGGTTCTCTAGGGAAAATATGCTTATGCATATGTATATGTTTATTATAAATGTTATTGATATAAAGGATATATAAAATATACAATACTATGAATTCTCATCAGTTCAATGATTGTTTGATACTTAGATCTCTGTAACCACTTGATGGTTACAATTGATGAAGAGTATAGTTTTGACAAAAATATTCCCTTTAAAATAAAGAATAAAACTAAATGACATCTAAGATATATGTCAGAATTTTACCCTTAATCCATGGAGTATCTCTTTAGAATCAGTTTTTAGACATTGGAAGAATATTTAATTTTTTTATACTATTCATAATGAAATGCCTACAACCACATCACATTTTTTCAAGTTTAATATGAATATTAACATTTTCTCTGTCAATTTCTTTAATCTTGACAGTCAACACAATAACATATCCAGCCCTTATATGTAGCATTTGCCAGTTGCCATAGTGTAATTTTTACACTATGGCCAAATGCAGTAATCATTGTGACACCATTGATCATACAATTGGGACAAAATACACAGCATATAAATAACAAAGTAGCATATCACACAGATATAAATAGCCTTGAGCATAGATAAATAATTAGGACATTATTTCTTTTGAGCATTGATTTTATTTGTTTTTATTATAATATATTTAGTTGTACGTTTTCATAATTTTATTTTTTAATGGCTCTGTTTAATAACCAGCTCACAAAATTACTAAAACTTTAAATGTTAGCCCTGCTAGTTTAACTAGTGGGCTTCAGTTCATAGCTGCTTTGGAATCATCTAGCTGTAAATGACCAATAAATGTGTGTATCTTTTACTTAGAAGATGGTTCCAAACTAAAATACTGATTTAGGGAATATTAATGTGTATGTGTTAGTTGAAGCCCTGGGAATAAGTAACCTGTCCCGGGGGAGTGAATGAAAAGAATGCATAGAATTAGAAGAGCTGGGTGGCCAAAGTTTTGTTGTAATAGCCACTTTCACTGAACAAGCTGAGAAGAGCAAGTGAGGCAAATTGAGTAGGGTCACAGAAAGAAGGGCAGAGAGCATTTTAAGAAGAAAGGCAGTCTTGATTGAGCCATAGAGAAGTCAGTCAAGTAGGTAATGGTTGAAAGGTATCTATTGAGTTTAACAGCAGCAGATCATTGCTTACATAGATGGCCGCATCATCGTGGAATAGTGGGTGTTGAACTAAATTTTCTGTTTCATAGAATGAGTAGGCAGTGTGCAACAGAATCTGAAATTTTAGTTAATAGGACCTTATTGAACAGGGAATGATAGGGGAACCGATTGAAATGATCGATGCATAATACCCCCACCCCCACCCCCGAGAATAACTGAAACGTGGGTGAAGGGAGACAGCAGTCGGTGTAAGATATGAAAACCATAATAATTTATCAAGGGGTCACAAGGGGAGGGAGGGAGGGAGGGAAGGAAGGAGGGAGGGGAGGGGAAAGGAGCTGATACCAAGTGCTCAAATAGAAAGTAAATGTTTAGAAAATGATGATGGCAACATATGTACAAATATGCTTGATACAATTGAAGTATCAATAAAATGATTTTTAAGAAAAAAAGAAAAGGAAATGATAGAGATAAGAAAGGATGGTAGGTAAATAGGAAATTAGCACAAAGACTCCATATTTATCACGTGTACAGAAAAAGCCATGACTTACAGGGTAACCAATAAAACAAGGTCTAGGAAAAGAGGGAGGCTTCTCTTCTGTAGAAAACGAGCTCTGAGCAGAAGAGATAATTTCTGAAATGGAAGGATGCAAGTAAGGGGAATTGTAAATAAGGATATGTGGGTATGGGCATTAGAAGTTCATTTTAATGTAGTTTGCTTTGAAATGTAAGCATTTGCTTGTAGCCAGACAAAACATCATAATGCACACCGTAATAGAGTATGTAGTAGAGGGCTTACTCATAAGTCACTTGGTAGTTAGCAACTTTTAGTTGGCTTGTACACTCTTTAGTAAAGCAGAGGAAGGAAGCTAGGGAATTAATGCTAATGGATACTACTTTGTTTAGAGTACAAGCTCTGAAATGGGTGTCAGAAAATATTCATGTTCAAAGGGAAGCTCAATAGCTGATGTTAATACTGACACATCTCTCAGTGTGCTTGTGAAGTTCATTATAGGTACTCAAGGCTGTGAAGTGCCTGTGGAAGATAGGGAAGACCCATATTCCTGCAAGCTATTCAACATCACGAATCCAGGTGAGGCTTCTGTTTCTCAGCCTTAAGACAGCCACAGACAGTTCTGATGTTGAGGAAAAGTTGCTAGGTTGAATAATAGGGAGTCTATTTTTAGCAGACTAAAACCGATCTTTCCCCCAAATGTATTCTTTGCCTTTTTTCAGCATGTTCATTAGTAATTCAGAGTATCTTTGGAGATTCTTTGTAGATAATAGAATTTCAAAATTAAGGAAAGTTTATTTTTCAGTGTGATTCTAATAAATCTGGAAATTTCTTATACATAGATAAATCCTGAGTTAACTGAATCTTGAGCGCTTAGAAAACTACTTCCTTCACCAGCCTGTTAATTTGCATGGCCTGATACAAATGCTGTGAATCAGCTATCTTAGAATTATTGGAGTGTGAGTGATGCTGTCCAGTAAGCATTGAACTGCTGATGGCAAAGTTGGTGGTTCAAACCCACCAGCCACTCACTCCCTTCAGAAGCACTGATGGCATATTGAGCTGCTAACCATAAGGTTAGTAGTTTGAGCCCACCAGCTGCTCTGGGGAGAAAGATGAGGCTGTTTGCTCCCTAAGGATTAGTCTTGGAAACCCTATGTAGAATTGCTGTGAGTTAGAATCAATATATGGCAATGAGTTTGTCTTGGTTTGAGTCTGTTTGCATAAAGAAACCTCAGAAACCCTACATAGGCTCACTATGAATCAGAATAGTTTAGATAACAGTGGGTTTCATTATGATCAGTTGTGGTTCTAAGGAAGGTTAAACATTTTTAGATCTCAAATGTGCCAATTATGGCTTCTGGTATCCTAGAAGTGTGTAAACAGCTCATAGGTAGTAGTAGTAAAGTGCTTAAAAGCATGGACTCAAGAGTTAAGCTCCTTGAGTTTAAACCCAGACTGCCAGTTTTTAGCTGTGTGATCTTGGGCCAGTTATTTACCATTCAATTCTATGCCTCATCATCTAACTGTGAATTAAGAATAAAACTACCTATCTCAGAGATTGATAGGAAGATGAGTTGATAAATGTAAAAGGTTTAGAAGAGTTCCTAGGATATGCTAGGTATGTAGTATTATTATTTTAAAGAACTCATCTTTTACTAAAACTGGGTTGTTATCAGCTTTTTAATAAATTAGACCAAATATTTGGGTCTATGTTGTAAAATTTTTAGTACATACATGAATTTAATGTTGTAAGCAAAATTGTGGGTATATTTGTGGTTTTCTGGAGAAAGGTATCTTTAGCTTTCACTAGAGCTCCTGAAGGACCAAAAACTTTGTAAAATGTATTGCTGATGTAAGAGCTGCCTAGAGTTAATTAGGCTTAATGAAACTACCTTTAAATTAGCCAGTGAGTTTCTGTTTATGGTGATAGGAAATTTAGCAATGAATATCAGTGATGGTTGTACAACATGTTTAATGTAATTGATATCACCAAATTTTATATCTGAGAAATGTTAAATTGGCAAATGTTACATATATTTTTACAACAATAAAAAATTAATCAAATTTTATCCATTTAAGTGCTGTTATTCATTAATCATAAAGGAGTGGATCTTTCCATTCTTATATAACAACATCCTTATATGTGCCATAGCTAGGATAAACCCCAAATTACTGTTTCGTTGGTTTAAATCATAGTAACATTATAGGACAGACTACCTTATTGGACTCAAAGGCTGGAATCTTTAATGAAACAGTGCTGTATCTTTCTCCAATGGAGTGGCTGTTAGTTTCCATTAGCAGCCAAGTACTTACCCATTGTGCCATCAAGACTCTGTAATACCTAGGTTATGAAAATGAATGTATAAATTAATATTGAACCTAATTTCCTTTTAATTATTAAAACAATATTTTGAGTTACTTTACTTTAATATCTTAAGGTCTTTATGAGCATTAATTATCATGATACTGTGGGTATGTAGAAGTATTAATTTGTGGCATTATCAAAGAATCAGGATTTCCTGTATACAGGAAGTTCAAAGTGCTTTTTCTTTTTTTCTTTTTGTAGATCGAAAATACCTAGTTGGAATGTGCTTTCCATATTACTTTTAGTAGGCACATTTCTAGGTATCTTTTCTTTACTGAATATATTAAAGAGGAAAGTTCTTGTCATATAATATGTGTGGAGTCTAGACACTGGCTAATGCTTGCACAGCCCTTGGCAATATAATTGTCTTCTTTTATTTTCCTTCTGCTTATGTATATAATGAGGTAGGAGCTTGTGTTAGTCTGGGTACATTAGAGAAACAAATCCACAGAAGTTCATGTATAAGAGAGAGTTTTATATAAAGAGTAAGTGCACATCAAGAAAACATCCCAACCCAGTGCTGCCCAAATCCACAAGTCCAATATTAGCCCATATGTCTGACACCAATCCACAAAGTCCTCATCCATCCCACAAAACACAGGCAATGATGCTGACTGCAGGAGGAAAGCTGAATCAGTGAATTTGTAAGCATTTCAGTGCTGGCAGGGGTCTCCACATAGCTGCTCCAGCACCCAGGGCTACATCGGGAGATGTCCATGTGGTTTCTCTTCAGGGACATCTTGCAGGAAGTGAGCCTTGCCAGCTAAAGCCGGGAACTGGCTAAGTCAGCTGCACCCTGGTCCGACCATCAGAAAGCAAGAGACCTTAGAACTAGAAAGGCGAGGCTCACCGAGCCATTTATCTCTCTGCCCTTTAATTAACCTCACATGTGTTTATTGGCCAGATTGACACAATAAACTTTAACTATCTCAGAGTTATCTCTTCTGTTTAGTAACATTTTAATGAGCATCTATTAAGTGTGAAATAAAATAGTCCTCTATGACTCACTGGCTATGAGAATAAAATGGAATTTCTGTTTACCTGAAAATAAGAAAATGTCAGAGGGGTGGGAGGGAAAAAAGAGGAGCTGATACTAAGGGCACAAATAGAAAGTAAATGTTTAGAAAATAATGATGGCAACATATGTACAAATATGCTTGATACAATTGATGTATGAATTGTTATGAGAGCTGTAAGAACCCCCAATAAAATTATCTTTAAAAAAATAAAAAGAAAAAGTCATCTTTATTAATACTCAAGATGTATAATATATGTATTATATGTGAGAGTGTTTCAAAAAATTTGTGTAAAAGTATCTTACTATTGTACTTTTCTAAGAACTGTTTGAAGCCCCTTCATGTATATATTATATAAATAAATAATAAATATACAAGCATTTTTAACTGATGGGGTTTGTGATCAGAGTTTTGAGACCACTGCTCTAAAAATATACAAAGAATATGATATTATAATCTTTGGGGCTTTTATGCTTTTTATCCAAATGGCATCTAAATTCTTTGCCATATTAAATCCTTCCGTCATATCCTCTGATTTAACTATGATAATTGGAAATATTTTATGAAGATAACTGCTTAGGGTACTATGAAAGAGTAGAAAGAGCTCTAAATTTGAGTCAGTAAACCTAGGCTTTTATTGTTGGCTCTGCCACGTTTTATGTGATTTGGGGCAAGTTATTTAACAAAATACATCAGGTTCCATGTCTGAATCTGTAAACTGGAAAAGACGATAACCACACAGGTTAATTGTGAAGAAGTAAAGATGGTGGCACATAGTGACCCCAAATCCAAACTAGTTGGAGAAAGTCTACCCCAACTCATGGTGATGCCAGTCAGAATTAAACTGTGCCCCACTGGGTTTCCAGTGGCAAAGTTTTCAGAAATAAGTCACCAGATTTTTCTTCTAATTTTCCCGGAGTAGGTGGTCAGAGATGCCCACTGTGTTTAGTGTACTATCTGTTAGCAGTAGTGTACAGCAGGAGCTTGTCAGTGTTGCTTCAGGTGACTTCCGAGATTTTTAAACTGTGGTAATTGCTCCAACATATCACAGATATTTTTAGTTGCTCAAGAAGTAGGAATATACAGAGCAGGGCCAGATTTACTGGTTATTTATTATTGCAATCAGTACTGTTTTTACTATCCCTATTTATCCAAATATTGCAAGTAGATATCTTCCATTTGATTCTAAATTTAATATTTTCCTCTGATGTTGTGCATAGATGTATATGCACACATGTGCTTTTTAAAAATATATTAAAACAACATGGTTGGTTGAATAATTTGCTTAGATGTGGCTGAAAACTTCCTATTAAATTTCAAAATAAGTTTATTTCTAGAAGCATCCATACTTTGGAGGCATTTTCTTTATTCTTATAATTTGTGGAAAATTATGTAACTAATAGTTATCTAGATTTTTTTCAGTAAACCCACTTCATTATTTGGAATAAGTAAAAGAAAAACAGTCTTTAATAGATTATTTAAAATATTCTTTTTCATTAATTCCATAGTTTTGAATCAGAAAATTGAGGCATTCAGTTTTTCTGAAGATACATCATCAGGACTCTCTGAAGATCACGTTGTCAGTGTTCGCTTCCGTGTTCTCTACCCAATCATTATTACCAGTCTCGGTGTGTTCTATGATGCCAACAATGCGGGTTTCCAGAGGAACATAACTGTAAAGCTCTATCAGGCAGAACAGGAGGTATGTAGTATACAATTCTTCCCTTACTTTTAAAAAACATCAGCTTTTCACTCACGGTGCATGTGGCTGTGCCATAATATAATTCTAATTGATAAATTTCCACCCTTATTGATGACATATATAATAGTATGAAACTATTATGCTGGTTTGGGAGAGAATACCTATGCATAAATGTGTAATATGTAGAAAAGAGTTGGATTAGATTTGAAAGTGCCAACTACAGTTGTCCTAAGGTAACAGAAAAGTGGGTGAAGGGAGATATCAGTCACTGTAAGACATGAAAAAAAATGTATAAATTACCAAGGGTTCATGAGGGAGGGGGAAAAATGAGTAGCTGATACCAAGGACTCAGGTAGAAAGAAAATATTTTGAAAATGTTGATGGCAACAAATGTACAAATATGCTT